TCGTTTTCTTGAAGCCAATTCAGTCCAGCTGCTCGCCAAAGCAGGCTCCCAGCTGCAGGAGCTGGTACCCTCCCTGCCCAAAAGCCGGGGCCTGAGCCCGCAGGCCACAATAGCTCCCAAACCAATGACTTCCTCTGTAAATGGCTCAGACTTGCCACCACCCCATTCTTTTCCCCTTTTCTGTGGATTGTACGTGAATCATTTTTGCTCTAAATTACTGATTTACCAGTGAGACACTGAATCCATTCCAAACTCCTAGACCTGCGAGTCCAGCTTTCCTTCCCAGTATATCTCCCAACACCCTCCTGTGTGCATAAGCGGGCCTAACTCCTCCCAGGGCACTCTGCTCCTTAGTTAAGGGCACAGCTCAGTGCCCTGGGATTTATGATGGGCTTTCTAGACCCTTCCCCTTTCCCGGTCACCTTCCTCTTCCAAATGTCACATCACAGGGATGATGTCCTCCATTCTTGGCCAGCTGTTAATTCCAAACTTGTCGCTGGATCAGTAACCTGTCAGTGGGTATAAATGTCTCTTCCCACTGATCCACCCACACATCCCCATGTGTTGATTCAAGAGGAAATCGTTAACATCAAAGGAAACTTCCAGTATCAAAAAGCAAGAGACCTTGGAAGAGAATTTGTTGAGTGAATGAAGGACTCAATATAACAAAGTTAGAATGGCTGGATGATTTGTGGGTACTTAGGGGCCGAGGAGCTCCCCATACCCTACTCCCTAATGTCTTTTTTTTTTTGAGACAGAGTTTCACTCTTGTCGCCCAGGCTGGAGTGCGATGGCACGATCTTGGCTCACTGCAACCTCCACCTCCCAAGTTCAAGCCATTCTTCTGCCTCAGCCTCCCAAGTAGTTGGGATTACAGGTGCCTGCCACCACGCCCGGCTAATTATTTTGTATTTTTAGTAGAGACGGGGTTTCACTATGTTGGCCAGGCTGATCTCGAACTCCTGACCTCAGGTGATCCGCCCGCCTCGGCCTCTCAAAGTGATGGGATTATAGGCATAAACCACCGTGCCTGGCCGCTACTCCCAAATGTCTTACATAAAGCAGCCTCTTTCTGGCTTGGAGGAAAAGATCAATGAGGCACATGGAAAGCCAGAGTTCCATATTCTAGAAGAGCAAGTGCGCATGTGTGTGCATGTGTGTGCGTGCATGTGTGTGGACAGTGTGTGTGCCTGTGTGTACAGCATCCCAGTGTTCTCCCACCCCTAAAGAGATTTGGAGACAGAGAGAAAAGTCTTCTGCCCTTGTCCTAGGTGTTTCTCCTCACCAACCCCAACAGACCACACTTGGGAGAAAGGTTGTGGGCAGGCCCCCTTCCAAGCTGGATTTCAGCAACATTGCCAGCTTCTGTTGAAACAGATCAGAAAGGGTCCACTCCAAGCATGTATTGTAGAGCTTTTCATGCTTCCAATTTCAATGTCATTGACTTTGTAGAAGCAACCTATACCTCGGGTTTACTCTTGATACATCAAGAACTTTGATTTGTGCCTCCTCCTGTCTCCTTGATCATTCCCGAATTCGTATTCTTTCTTCTGTGGCCTCCTTATCCATTTCTATAGGAACTGTAAATGTTGCACTGGGGATGATTTTGTTTTTGTGTGTGTGCTTGCTCAGAAAATGGGCCCATTGATCTTTATTTGAGGTGAAGAAAAAAATCTGAAAAGATCATTACTGGTCCTTTTATTTCTCTCTAGGCTTCCAACGAGTAGTTTTTTTTTTTTTTGCCTGGGATCCTCTCTACAGCTGGGAGAGGCTCGGAACTGAGGTGCTGACAGCTTGTGTCGGAATCGCATGGTGTTTACTGTGCTGTGAGTTTATAACAGCCTTGTTTCCATACTGACAGCAAATGCCATATGGAGAGAAAAAAAATCTGTCAGATGAACCCTTAAGGGATCACAATATGGCACACGAAATCTCAAAACTGCTTTTGGAAAAGGTGGGGGTAGAGGGGTACCTTGCTTAAATCACATAAGCAGCATGGTGCTCTCTCCCATAATTGAATAAAAATGGAATTTGACACAAGGTACTTTACTTTGGTTCTGTGTTTGTGCTGGGAAAAACTCGGCTGATTGGGAAAAGATGCAAAGGTTTGTTTTCCTCCCCTTGGGGGATTGTGTTGAGTGGGAGGCAACGGGAATGCAGGCTGTATCTGCAGGGCATTGTGCTAACAGGTGCAGGCTGCAGACCTGTCACAGGCGCTGAGACCAGGTTCCCTACTGTGGCTGATGATCACACTCATCTAGCTTGACATTTTATTACTGTCACTTGAGATCTTGTCTATTCACCCACACACACTCCTGCTGACCTCTCCAGTCTGAGTCCAACCTCCCTGCGGGCTGGGACCACATCCCTAGGTACCCCTCCCCGTCAGAACCTGGCATACACTGAGGCTAAATGCTTGTTGAAGTGGCTATTTGTGAACCATCTGTGCTGGGAGAGGTGTAGACTGCGCCCACAGCTGAAGGGCAGAGTTTAGGCTGCAGTCCAGGGCTAGTTGGAGCCACAAAACCATTTGGGAGTGGGCCAAGAGGGGACTTGGCAGGTTGCTCATCCACGCTGATCCAAATACTCGGGAGAGAATGAAACGTTTTAGAGTGCCTTCTTCTACATACGCTACTTAGATCTGGCGAACTCCTCCAAAAAAAACCCTGCCCTCAGGCAGGTTACCCATGAAAGAAGTGGGCCTGGCCGCGGCTGTTTCCATTCCAGGAGGCAGACAGTGGAGTGCTGAGGCCGTGTCGCCATGTCGCCGTGTCCCCGTGTCCCCGTTTGGTGAATAAATGCCTGGGAGGGAGAGGCTGCCTTCAGGGCTCCTCTCTCCGCTCAGCTCCGCTTGTATGCCTGCTGCGTCCTCCGTGGGCTCTCGCTGCGTGGGGGAAGGCAGTCTCAGCAGCCCTCGGCTGAGCAGTCATCCCGAAAAGCCCTCCTGGCATCCCAGGGAACAGACAGTATCTTTCCTGGAAGTTCTGGCAAAAGCCCTGGGAGGACTCCAGGGCCCCCATGGATCACAGGCCCTGACCTGATTGGCTAGAACTGAGTCATGGCCACCCTTGAACCTGTCATCATGGCCAGAGAGAGAGGCCTCTGATTGGCTATGACTAAGTCACGTGTCTATCCGTGACCTTAGCACTGTGGCCAGGAGACAGAGGCCTTTTGATTGGCTATAACTGAGTCACGTGCCTGTCTCCGTAGCGTGGGAGGTCTCAGCTCCCTTTTTAGATTCAGAGGCATGGGTTGAATTTGAATTGGTACAGACTGGGAGAAAGGAGGTTCCCTAAAGGAAAGGGAGATGGAACAGACCAATGATCACATCCATAACGATGAGAAATGGGGTTTATTAATGTGCCAGCGTCTGGTTTGAGTGCTTTCTATGTATTGTCTTATTCATTCCTCAGGACGGTCCTAGGAGTTAGGTCCGCTCACCGTCCCCAGTTTACAAACTAGACAACTGAGGGGCAGTGTCAAGCCTCTTGCCCCGGGTTACACAGGCAGTGAGCAATGGGCTGGGATTTAAACCAAGGTGGTTTCACTCTGGAGCCCACACTCACACTCACAGCTACCACGAGATCCTCCCTGCGGGCAAGCCTTTGCTTTACATCCTATGGATAAGCATTTTGAGACTAAGAATCCAAGTGTGCTAGCGCAGTGGTTGTGTTCATATCCCCTTGTTGCCTGGCATATCTTAAGAGAAATCCTTTCTAGGGGGCTGGTATCTTACCTCCTTTACACCAAGTAGACTGTAGTCATCCTTTTCCCCCAAGTTGCTCTCCTTCCCAGGCTCTATCGCCCTCTTCGCAGTTTCCCATAAACTCACCCGACTGTGTCCCGTGCAGCTGCAAAATCGATGGCCTAGTGTTCGGTGCTCCAGAGAGCCCGAGGCAGCATGTTTCAGTGGTTCCTTCGAGTATCTTCCGGGCCAGAGAGAACTTCTTGGAGAGGCTTTAGCATCACTGCAGGAAGAACCAAAAGGGAAGGGGCTCCCATCCCAACTACAGCATGCCCTTCTGGTTTTCAGAGAACACAGAGGCCCAGAGAGGGCAAGTGAATGGTTTGAAGTAACACAGCAAATTGTTGGCTAGCACCGTGGTCTCTGGGCCTCTTGGTGGGAGTCTTGCAGTATTTGCTCTTTCGAATCCTCTTGGCTGTTGAGTGGGTAAGTGCGGGTGACTTCCTGTCTCCGTGCCTTTAGTGCCTAACTGGAAAAGGCAGGGTTTTCATAATTTGAAGCGTCCTAAGACTGGGCTTTTCTCCAGTTGGGCAAAAATGATTTTTTAAAAATGTATCCATTAGGATGCTTTGAATTACAAGTAATTTCTAAAAATGTTCAAACTGCCCTAAACAAGGAGAATGTGTTGTCTCGTAAATCAGCTTTTCACATGTGGTTTGAGCTACAGGCATGGTTTGATCCAGAGATTCATGACATCACCAGGGCACCAACACTACTACTTCCTGTAATTTCCCAGCTCTCACCTCCTTGATGTGTCAGCCTCATCCTCATAGCGGCTTCTCTTGCAGTGTCAAGAACACTGTTGCAGCACCTGGCCTCACACCCACTCACCATGACCTCCAGAGGAAGAGAGCGCCTCTGCTCCAGTGTTCCCAAGCAGTCTGCGGTCCACTCTGATTCAACTGGCTTACATTACAGGCCTGCAGTCACTGTAATCAGAGAATGTGATGTGCTTAATGGCCACCAAGGAGATGGAATCACAGTCCCCAGAACTGCTGGCATGTCCATACAGAAATCAGAGCATTGGACCGGGGGCGTGGAGTGGGGAGTGGAGGCTGGGTCGTCACTGGTGCCTTCTTCTACACTGACATCTCTCTGAGTCTGCAGAGACCATGAAATGAAGAAGGGGTTCTGAGAGTTTGCCAGTCACCTTACTCCATCCATCTGGGGCTCTGAGCCCAGGTGAGGGAATGACAGGAAGGCCCTGCCTGGCCTTCTCCTGGGTCTCATCACATTCTTCTTTTCTTGTCTCCAGACAGAGATTACTGCAGTTTATGTGACAAGCAGCCAATCGGGAGGCTGCTTTTCCGGCAGTTTTGTGAAACCAGGCCTGGGCTGGAGTGTTACATTCAGTTCCTGGACTCCGTGGTAAGTTCCTGCTCCTGTGGTCGTGTGGTCCTCTGTGATCAGTGATTGTTTTGGCTCAAAGGAAAAGATAGACCTCATGGTTTAGAAGAGTGCTTACAAAACTCCCACTACAGACTTTGATTAGGAATGCAAAATTGTCTCAGGATCTAAACTCATGGGTGACCTTGGGTGGGCCCCCTCCCCTCTGGACCTTAGTTGCTGTTGCTATAAAGTGGAGCCCTATCAGCTCTTTGATTCTGGAAGTCTGGGTTATTATGGGAGGCAGGGCCTGGGGAAGTTAGGCCTAGCTCTTGGATCTGGTGGCCCCTTCCTCCAGCTGAGAACCCATTTTATAGAATTCCACAGCTTTTGTGAGTTTGTACAATTGTTTATTGTCAGCTTCCGCATTAGAATGCAAGCTCCCTGAGGGCAGGACCCTGGGCTGGCATCCTGTTCACACCTGCCTCATGCAGTGCCCAGCATCTATGGGCACTCAATAAATGTCAAATGAAGTGCATGGCTGTCAAGCCGGTCTGACTGCCAATGGCTCCACTGGGCTCTGGCATGGATGACATGCCTGACACCATGGAGGCTTCCTTCGGATGTGCTTGTTATGCATTTGTTTAACAAATGTTGATTGATTGCATGGGTTTTTAAGACAGGTTGTGGGAATAGTCAGGAGTTCCTCTGCACCTGCCCAGGAAGCCTGGGCACCTTGGTTCAGCCAACTGCCCTTGGGTTTTTATCCGAGGAAAGAGGACAAGAGGGGAGAAGAAGGAATGGGGAGCGGTCATGAAGGGTGTGAAGTCATCCAGGCCCCTCCCCTCTCCCCCAGGTGCAGGGGCTAAGAGGCTGCTGTTTCCTAAAAGCCCTCATGCCACCATTGGCTGCTGCCATCCCGACCTCTATCTCAGTTTGGGGGACAACCCTTTAAGATTTCAAGTCTCTGTATCTGCTTCAGGATCTCGATGTGCATCTCTAGACTCACAAACCAAATTGCCCACTGGACATCTCCACTGAAGTCACAAAGGCCGCCTTAAAGTCAGTAAGTCCCAAATGCACTCAGCACTTTCTCCCAGGACCCCAAAGCTACCAGCCCTGAGACATTACCTGTTCCAGAGACCAGCACCCTACAGTCACCCGAGACTGAAATCTCTGCACTCTTTAATGCCTTCCCTTCCTCATCCTTCCCCAACCTGATCAAGGCTCATGTGCTTGGCTCCTTGACCCCGTCCAGGCCAGCTCCCTCCCCTCCGCAGGCTCTGCCTTGGGCTTAGGGGAGGCTCTGCCCTGGGCTTCGGGCAGATTCTTGGCGCCTCTTGTATGAGTGATTACAGTAGTTTTCAATCTTGGCTGGGCATTGGAAACACCTGGGGAGCCTTAAAAACACACCAGAGCCTGAGCTGAAGCCCAGACCAATTAATTTGAATCTCTGGAGGTGGGGCCTAGTATTTTTATAACTTTTTATTATGGAAAATTTCAAGCTATAAAAAGTAAAGTCGACAGAATAGTGTAATGAACCCCCAGGCACCCTTCACCCCACCTCAACAATTATGAACTCATGGCCAATCTTCTTTCATCCATTCTTCCATCCTCCACTCTGTAACATTTTGTAGCAAATTTCATATATTATCTCATCTGTGAACTTTTCAGTATGTATCTCTGAATAAGAGCTCTTTAAAAAATAGTGTTATCATAGCTTTAAAAATTCTTTACTATCATCAAATGTTAGTATTCAGATTTCCAGCATTCTCGTACATTTTATGTGTATTTGTTTGAATTGGTCTGGATAAGATCCACACATTGTGATCGGTTGATGTTTTTACTCTAGGCTCCCCCTTAACCATCTATCCCTGTTTGTAATACATGTGTTGTTCCTACAGAAGAGCTTCCCACAGTCTGAATTTTGTATTCTTATCCCCAAGTGTCATTTAACAGGCTCCTCTATATTTCTTATGCATTGCTAGTTGGATGTAGAAACTTGACCAAATTCAGTTTCCCTTTTTGTGTGTGGAGTGGGATTCGACTTCCTCAGTGGTTTCATGTTCTTCCATCAGGGGGCATATACCATCTGGTTGTCTTTCTTTTTGAAATGGTAGCAGCTATTGCTAGTCTGTATGTGAATCTGTTAGTTAAAAAGGACTTGCAACATGGCAACATTCTAATTCTGCCATTCCGTCTTCATTTGCCAACAGAGGCACTTCCTTTTGATGACCATGTGGTGACCTAGTGGTAAAGTTCATAGAGGAAATGGTTGATTCTTTTCTCACATTAATGTTTCTAAAATACCAAACTGGTTCACTACCATCCTCTAGTAGCAGTAACTAATTAGAGTTTTTAACTCATGGTTTTAGACATGTTGCGTGTGTACTGTTGCACCATAGTCATTATCCTGACTGATGCTCATGGTCTCATCCCTGGCTAGTGGGGGCATCTGCAGGTTGGCTTTGAGTCCCTGGCTGGACTCCAGCAGTTATCAGTAGTCTCCTTGCTGTCTGATATGACGCAAGGTTCTGGGCTCCTCTTATACTAGATCTATTGTTTTTTGGAGGAGCTGTGACTCCTTTTACTGGGACACAGTAGTTGCAGGCCATAGTTTGGCACAAGGCTTATTACCACTAGGCTAGCCATCAATTCTAACACCTATTGGCATTTTTCACATCTCCCAGGGGTTTAGTGTGGATCCAGGGTTGGAAAGTAATGACATCTAGGATAAAGTCCAGGTTCTGAAACTGACTTACCAGATCTTCCAGCATCAGCGTCTGCCCACCTTTTCACCCTTGGCCTTCCCAGAGTCTTTCTTCAGCCCTGTGTTCTGGCCTCACTACCCACTTCTAGCATTTGTGACTTACCAGGAGAGTTCAAGCCTCTTGGCCCTAGCTCTCTCAGGCCTCCCTGCCTGAAATCCTCCCCGTAGTCCATTTGCCTGGCAAATGCCTGCTTGTCCTTCTATCCCCTGTTCACAGAGGTCCTCCCAATCTCCCTCTTCCTGTCTCTTCTCCTGTGCCCCTCTGCTGTGGGTGCTTGCTTCTCACATGCACCTGAGCCACATTGCTGCCCCATGCTGGCAGAGGTGCATTGATGGAGAGTGCAGGCTCCAGAGATAGGATGCCAGGACATCGTGGCTCTGCCACCATCCCTTGGTGAGACCATGCATGGGCAGGTGTTTAACCCCTCGTGTACTTCGTGTCTTCATCTGTAAGTGGGGATATAGCTGTATCTGATGATGGGAGAGGTGTTAGGTAGAGACTACATGAGTTCTTACTGCTCAGAACCATGTCTGGAATAGCACTGAGGCTCAGTGAATGTAGCCATTGAGGACTTTGTGTGCCTGTTCCTCCACTAGCCAAGCCTCTTGGTGGCACAGATGTGGCCCATGGTCCTCAGCCCGCAATGCCACACCTAGCAGTTGAGTGATGCTCAGATTGGGCCCAGTGGAGGTTGGTGACTTGCTTAAAGTCACAGAGCATGTGAGGGGCAGAGGTAGGCCCAGAACTCAGGTCTCCTGGCTCCCGGTCCAGGCTCCTTCCTCGGCATCATGCTGCCTCTGAGGCCATGAGCATAATAAGCCAATAACATGGAATGTTTGAAGGTGAGAACTGGGATGGAAAAAGAAGAACTAGAGCAGGTTAAAGGAGGTTGGGAGTGTGGATATGGGGAGGCTGGTTGTATCATGAAGTAGGACGGTCAGCATAGGAGTCTTTGAAAAGGCAACGTTTGATTGAGGACCAGGAGGAGCTGGAGGAGTTAGTCAAGTGAATATGTGGTGAAAGGGCATTACAGGCAGGGAACAGCCAGCACAAAGGCCTGCAGGAGGGAGGGAGGAAGGGCAGAAGGGGTAGGAGAGAAGTTGATCATGTAGGACTTTGTGCCATCAGAGAACTTTGACTTTGAGAGAAATGGGGGAGCCACTGGAGGGTTTTTAGCAGAGCAGTGGCGTGGTCTGACTTGGGGTTTTGTTTTGTTTTGTTTTGTTTTGTTTTATTTTAATGAGACAGGGTCTCACTCTGTCATCCAGGCTGGAGTGCAGGAGTGGGTTCGTAGCTCACTGCAGCCTCAACCTCCTGGGCTCAAGTGATCCTCCTGCCTTGGCCTCCCAAGTAGCTGCAAATACAGGTGTGCACCACCATGCCCATCTGTGCCTTAGGTTTTTAAATGATCCCTCTGGCTTCCATGTTGGGAGCAGGCTTTGAGGGGCAGAGGTGGGAGCAGGGAGATCTGCTAGGAGGCTGTTGCAGCAGTCCAGGTGAGAGCAGCTGGTGGCTCAAGCCAGCATGGTAGCCCCTGGCAGTGGTGAGAAGTGGTTGGATTTGAGACTTGTGTGGAAGGTGGAGTTAACAGTATTCTCTGATGGACTGGGGATGACAGAAGAGTTAAGGAAGACTTCAAAGTTTTGACCTGAACAAATAGAAAGATGGATTTAGGAAAAGGCTGTGGGAAGGTCACCCTGTGGGGAAAATCAAGAGCTCCGCTTCAGGCACACGTGCCTTGGGATGTCTACCAGATGCTTGAGTGGAGAAGCTCCAGGGGAGATGGGTATTCAAGTCAGGCTTCATGAGAAAGGTCTGGGCTGGAAATGGAAAATTGGGAATAGTCAACTTTTTAAAAAAATTTTTTACTTTTGAGACACAGTCTTACTCTGTCGCCCAGATTCGAGTGCAGTGGTGTGATCTTAGCTCACTGCAACCTCTGCCTCCCGAGCTCAGGTGATCCTCTTGCCTCAGCCTCCCAAGTAGCTGGGACTACAGGTACACGCCACCACGCCCGGCTAATTTTTGTATTTTTTTGTAGAGACAGAGTTTCACTATGTTGTCATGGCTGGTCTCAAACTCCTGGGCTCAAGTGATCTGCCTGCTTTGGCCTCCCAAAGTGGTGGGATTACAGGCATGAGCCTCTGTGCCCAGCCTTGGAGTTGTCAACATATATAGAGCTGGTGTTTAGAGAGCCCTAGGCTGGAGGAGCTCACCAAGGAAACAAATCCACGTGGATGGAGAAGCGTGAGGACAAAAGATGCCCCGGAC